CTCGCTGTACGGCTTCATGCTTCTCGGATCTAAACCCTAAACCCTAAACCCTAAACCCTAAACCCTAAACCCTGCAGGTGCTTGCATAAGCTAAGCACTTGTGCTGCAGGACTCAATATGCGTCTCGCAGCTGTGTGACCGTTCAGGAGATTACTTAGAGGACCGTGCCCGGGGATTTCGCTGCCTAGCCGTGAAAAGTGGGACACGTCTGCCGAGTGGTTCCAGAAGGTTGACTTTGACTTGAGCAAGCAAGGCCACTATCCAAGCTACCCGCGTGCATGGTAGCGGAGCCGAAAGGCTCTTGCATCTGTGCGATCCAGGGACCTGAGTTTTGAGCCAGCCCCGTGCGACCGGGCTGGAATGACGAGCGGGCTTGGAGGCCGCTCCAAGGATGGCGTCCCGACATGGGACGGAAGTGCGAGCACTTTTCAAGCATATGAGGAGCAAGTGCTTGTTTGGGAGCAGGGAGTCAAGTATGAGAACCGCTATCTATGTGGGCCACGGCTCTGTGGGGAGCTGACAGGAGCTGCTCAGCGAATGATTGTGGGGAAGCCTCCCACATGGGTTTCATTCAATGGGGGCGTGGCCACGTTCTTACAGCACCTACGGCAGAGTTTGGGACGTCCCCAAATTCCGGAGGCAACGGAGTTCTTGAATAAGTACTTCCGAAACAGCCGACGCCGCATGGGCGAGGGCATCAACGACTACATCACGAGGAAGACAGAGACGTACTGGAGAGCCTGCCAGGCGTTGAAGCGGGTGATGCCCCGCCACCGGAAGAACGTGGCGACACCGCAGTGGCCCGAGCAGGGAGCCAACCATGGCAATGGATGGACAAGCCGACGCTCTAGTTGGGCATCCACAGCCTCACAGACTGGCAACGCCGACAATGACGACAACGAAGCCGAGGAGAATCAGGATGACGACACCACGGAGGCCACATGGACGAGGGCGCCTTCGTCTTGGTCTTCGTGGAGCTGGAGTGGACACTCCTGGGGCAGCTCCCAGGGGTATCCCGCCTGGGACTGGCGAAGAGGCCACGAACCCTACGCGCAGCCCGAACCTCAGATCGACATCCTCCCGGAGTTTGTCCAGGCCTGGTACTTGTTGGCGGATGCTGGCCTCACCAACTATGAGCGGAACCTGATCCACACAGCAGTGGCCGGGGATTACACCTTGGCCCGGGTGTCGCATGAGCTGCGAACCCAACACGGCGAGCATGACCACCGACGGAAAGATCAGGGCGGGCACGCCTACCTCGGCGAGGAGCTCGCGGAGGTGGACGAGGAAGAGGACGAGACGACCGAGAGCTTTGCCTATGACATGAATGACGTCCTCGATGAGGAGGGGTCTGCCCTATGGGCAGAGAGCCAGACGGAGATCGACTCAGCGTGTGCCGTCCTCCGAGATGCGCGAAGGACCCTCAAAGCAGCTCGCGAAAAACAACACCAAGTGAAGATGGCGAGGAAGTACTACCAGCCTCGCAGCTCTGAGGGATCAAATCGTCCACGAGACGACTCAGGCATGACTTGCCTGAAGTGTGGGCGGCTAGGTCATCGCGCTCGGAACTGCCCTGACAGGGTGATGGAGTCACAGGAGCCCAAGCCAGCTAAGCAGATGGCCCCCTTCGTGTGCTATGCCCAGGTTGCCGAAGGAGCCCTTTCTGCAGGACCAACAACACAAGAAGCAGTCGAAGCCGGCTGCTGTGTGATAGATGGGGGGGCGACTAAGACCCTGGGCTCCGTGAAGGCCTTGGAGAAGTTGTTCCAGCGCAACCTCGAGAAGTATGGCGAGGACAGAGTCCAACAAGTGGACCTCGCCGATCGTCCCGTGTTTGGCTTCGGGAACTCCACGGAAGGGCAGTGTGTCTCGACAATCCATCTGGGTGTTAGCGCTGACAAGAAGAACGGCAAGATCGTGGTTCACGCCCTCGACGAGGGCGAGGGGCCGGTGTTGTTCTCGATCGAGGCGCTGCGCAAGCTGGATGCCGTGATCGATTTTCGCCGAGACCTGGCGGTGTTCCGGGAGCTAGACCCGTGCCAGGTGATCCAGCTGAAGCGCTCCCAGACAGGACATCAACTCCTGGATTTGACAGCAGATCTTTTTGTTAATGCCCGAAGGACCAACAAACCGGTTCCTTCGCTAGATGAGTTCCTCTAGGGACAGCTCCTCCCAGCTGACGTTCCTGGCGTCAAAAGGGAGGTCGATGTGTATAGACCAGGAGTGGGTAGCATGACAGATCAGAGTCCTCGGAATGTGAGTGATGGTTCTAGGGAGACGGAGTGTGATAATTTTTCAGTTTCCAGATGTGGAGCAGCAGTGGTTCCGATGAGCCAGAAGACCGGAAGCCCTCGTGCAAGCTCAGACCAGTGCCCCCAGGTCCTCCTCTGTCCGCGACCGCGTCCCGAAAGCCATGATGAAGATGAACAAGACCCAGCTCCAGGATGCGATCCGTGCTCGGGGAGAAGAGCCACCTCGCGAATGGAGCAATGTGGAGTTGCGGGACAGGTTGACCGAGCTCATGGAGCAGGCGGGCGAGACCTCAACCAGCGCGAAGAAGACGGACCTTCGGCAGTGGATCACCGAGTTGAACAAGAGCAGCCGGAAGAAGGAGCTCTTGAAGGCGTTCTGCGAGGAGCGCCTGAAGATCACCTTGAGCGGCAGCGAGACCGTTCCCATGTTGCAGAAGAAGGCGACTCGGAAGATCTACGAGGTGTCGGTGGCCAGCGCCATGGACCCAGTGGGCTTCGGGAAGTGGTCCACGCTCAGTTACGGACAACTTCGCCGCGAACAGCCAGCCTACGCCAACTGGGTGCAGGAGACTCTCATGGAAGGGGGGGAGACATGCGACTACCGCCTCAGCCGCCTGGGCCACTGGTTGATGAACCAACCAGACGAGGAGACCATGGAGACGGAGAAGATGTTCCCGATGGCTACTTCTCCCCGCTATGTGGAGCCCAAGGCCAAGGCCCAGACCGTGATGAAGGAGCACGCCGGTGGCAAGGGCTACGGCACAAAGGCACCAAAGGGCCGCGGTTTTGCGGCTCGGGATGTTCCTGCCTCGTCCCACGAGGCACCCGAGGCAGCGGGGAATGCGGATACTATGAAGTTGCTCATGGACACGATGGTGGCCATGAAGGAGGAGATCAAACAACTCCGGGAGGATCGCAAACCGGAGGAGCCCCGGCGCAAGAAGAAGGAGGATGCGGAGACCGATGGCAAGGACTCGACCGAGAAGAGCTTCACGATGGTCCTCGACCCTTGAGGAGTGCCGAAGATGTGCCAGGCTGTGGAACAGCCCATTTTGAGGCTACAGACGTAGATGATTTGGATGAAGAATCCACCAAGCTGCGCCGCCTTACGGTCGGTGCCGCTCGGGTTCTTGAAGACAAGTCTTGGAGCGCAGTACCCAAGCTGTTCTCTAGCCTGGCACAGAACCAACGACCCTTGTTGATGGACATCACATGTGAAAAAGAGGGCGTTCTTGCGAAAGCAGTCCAGGTAGCCACGGGAGATGCGCAGGCTGCCACATGTTGTGCGTTGTGGGACAAACATGATTTGGGGAAAACCGAGGGAGTGCAACTGGTGTTAGAACAGATTGAAGCCTGGAGACCCAGCTTGGTGTGGTTGAGTCCCCCTGGAGGCCCCTATTCCCCCATGCAACGCACCAATCAACGTAGTGAGGCCCAGAAACAAGAGTTGGCGCAACAACGAAAACAGGCGATGAGGGCTTATGTGGGATGTAGTGTGGTGTGGCATTACTGCGTGCAACGGGGAATCCATGTGGCCTGGGAGTTGGCCGAAAAGAGCGATGCCTGGCGACTGCCGATGCTTCAGGATATTTTGCGGCGCTATGACCCGTATGTTGCCGTGACCAAGGGTTGTCGGGTGAACTTGAGGGATAAAAAGGGGCAACTTGTCCAAAAGGGTTGGAAGGTGATGACCACGCACAAGCGCCTCTCTGAGCTGTTGCACAAGCCCTGTAGGTGTGACTCTAAGTACGAGCATGGGAAGTGTGAAGGTTCGATGTGTGCCGGGAGCCCCGCCTACCCAAAAGAGTTCCAGCAACTGGTGGTGTCAGGGGCCCAACAGGAACTGAGTATGTATGGAGTTCAACGGGAGTGTCAAGGAGACTCACAAACAGTGGACCTCTTTGGGAGGGGGCTGGCATGTGTGTGTGACATGACACGACAGTCGGAACATGTTCAGCCTTGTGCTTGTTGCTTGCTTGCAGAAGAAGACTCAGAGAGCGAGAGAGAGAACCCGAAAACAAAGCTGAAACCTCGGGAGGAAATGGAAAGGGAGGCAAAGGAGAAAAGGGAGCAAGGAAGGACGTCGTTTGAAGACATGGAACAGTTTCTCAAAGGTCTGGAGTTGCAACTGCCCAGGAAGGGACGAGGAATGATGGGAGGAAGGCACCAACGACCGCCCTACTTTCAGTTTGGAGCTTACCGTCATGGTCCGTTTGTTGGCTTGAGTGACCGAACCAAGAAACATGAGGAACTGTGTAGATATGTGAATTCATTCCTTCGGAAACACGCCGACCCTGGAGCTACTTGGTCCTCCTTTGTCATTAGCTACAACAACCCAGTGCCATGGCACAAAGACTGTCACAACAACAAGAACAGCAAGAACTACACATGTTCTTTCGGTGCCTACACTGGGGGTGAGCTGGGGGTGTACACAGGAAGCGATGAGCAGCCTCAATTTACGAGCACCCGTCACAACGTGGTGGAGTTCCCTCCGAACGCCTTACACGGGGTGCAGCCGTGGAAGGGAGAGCGGATATCGGTTTCTGCGTACACTGTGAGAGATGAGAAAGAGCTGAGTAGAGAGGAACGGAAGCGCTTGCAACAGTGTGGATTTCCTGTGTATGCGAAGTCGAAGCAAGTTGGGTTTTCTGAAGCCCAAAGCCCCGTGGAAGCTGAAGCGGATACGCATGAAGCTTTCGCGGTTGAGGAAAGCGGACCAAGCGGGAACCGCAGACAAGCGAAGCTTTGGAAGCAAATCTACTTGTTGCATGCCGCCACGGGACACGGCAGTATGCGGCATCTGATTGATGCACTTAAGAAAAGAGGTGCCTCGGAAGAGGTGCTCCAGGCCGCTAGGGAGTTTAAGTGCAGTGTTTGTCATGAAAAGCAACGAGTGCAACCAAGACATCTAGCTTCCCTGGAACCTTTGCCACCGAAGTGGCACACCGTGACGGCCGACGTGGGACATTGGCACCACCCAACGACAGGAGAAGATGTGCAGTTTCTTGTCATGTTGGACGAAAACACTAGGTTTAGGACCGCTAGGATCCTCACGAGGGGCTCGAAACAACAGCCCTCGGCCACGACCTGTTTGAACTACTTTCAGGAAGGGTGGATGCAGTACTTCGGACTGCCCCGCACCCTTCGTCTTGATCCTGCGGGGGCCTTCAGAAGCCAAGCGTTAGAAGCCTTCTGTGATAAGCATAGCATATTTTTAGATGTGGCGCCGGCGGAGGCGCATTGGAAAATTGGTTCCATTGAGCAAGCGGTCCAAGGGCTGAAGGAGGTTCTAGGAAAGCTTCATGACGATGATCCGGCCATCACGCCGGAAGAGGCCCTGGCAAATGCAGTGCGAGTGTTTAACCACCGGGAGCAAGTGAGGGGGTTTTCTCCGGCTCAGCTGGCACTAGGCCGGAATGCCGATGACACAGATAGGCTAGTGGCAGAGGAGAGCCGATTACCTCCCGACCTCCTCGTGGAGAACGCGACCGGCGAGTTTCAGCGCGATGTGCAGCGGAGAGCCGCTGCAGAGAAGGCTCACAGTGAATGGCACGCCAATCAAAGGTTGTTACGGGCCCAGCATTCACGGCCTCGTCGGGCCTATGACTATGTCCCCGGGGAACTGGTGTTCTTTTGGCGCAGCCAGGAGTCCAATAAGAGCAGGAGAGCTCCTGGGGGAAAGCATGGCCGATTTCTCGGCCCAGCCCGGATTCTGGCGACGGAGACGAGGAAGGATGCTGAAGGCCACTTGCGGCCCGGAAGCATTGTGTGGTGCGTCCGGGGAAAGCAGCTTGTCAAGTGCTGCCCGGAGCAATTGAGACGAGCCTCGGAGCGAGAATCGCTCATCGAAGAGTTGAGCACCGAGGTGAAGGTTCCATGGACATTCACAAAAGTCGCTGAAGAGCTGGGGGGCAACCAATTTCTGGATGTGTCTCAGGAAGCGCCCGACGACATCGAGTGGACCCGGGCCCAGGATCCAGCACAGCAGGCACCTCCCGCCATGCGCCGGATCCGAGGCAAGAGGTCGGAACCACCACAGCCGACTGATGAGATGGACGAGGGCGAGCAGCCTCAGCTACAACGGCCTCGGCATCAGGCCAATCGGCAGGAAGCACAGTCTGCCGAACGCTGGCAGGACAAAGTGTCACAGAGTGCATGGAGCGCCGAGCCCGTGGAGTACTGGATGCATGAGAACACAGCGGTGGAGGTTGAGTTTGACCTCCCCGAGTCCCAGCGCGGCAAGAAAGGCATGTGCCAGAACCTCGAGGCCTTCTTCGTCGGAGCGATGAAGCGCAAGGCCGTTGAAGTCAGTGAGCGAAAGCTCACGGAGGCGGAACGTGAGCAATTCAAGGCGGCGAAAGCCGTGGAGGTGAAAAATTTTATTGCCGCTGAAGCCTTCAAGCAGCTCCCCGGTCATCTTCAGCCATCAGCCGAGCAAGCTGTCGGCATGAGGTGGATACTTACCTGGAAGGTTCGCGAAGACGGGTCGAAAAAGGCAAAGGCACGTGCAGTGCTTTTAGGGTACCAAGACCCTTCCTACGCTCACAGAGCGACTACTTCCCCCGTAATGAGCCGCCAAACTCGCCAGATGTTTCTGCAGTATGCAGCTTGGAAGAAGTGGCTCATTCAGAAGGGGGACGTGTCCGGAGCGTTCCTGCAAGGCCGAGAATATCCTGATACACTTCATTGCGTGCCGTGCCCCGAGATCCTGGAAGCAATGAATCTGCCTCCAGGTACCGTGACCCAGCTGATGAAGGCTTGCTACGGGTTAGTGGACGCGCCTCTTGAGTGGTATAAGTCGGTTGATACTTTCCTTAAGGAACTGGGTTTTGTTAGGTCTTGGTCCGATCCCTGTGTATGGTATTGGCGAGTGGATGGAGTCCTTCGAGGTGCCATCTGTGGACATGTGGACGACTTCTTGTTCATGGGCGACAAGGAGGACAAGGAATGGAACAATCTCTTGGCCGCCATCCAGAAGAAGTTCAAATGGGGGGATTGGGAATCAGGCAACTTCACTCAGTGCGGCGTCCGCATTCGAGCTACTGCGGATGGCTACGAGCTATCTCAGCCCGGCTATGCCAAGGAGATCAAGGAGATCCCCCTGAGCGCGACCCGACGCCGCGAGGACGAAAAGCCCATTACAGACTGGGAGCGAACGCAGCTCCGAGTGCTTTTGGGTGGACTTTCGTGGACAGCACAACAAGTGGCTCCCCACCTGTCAGCCGAGGTGTCTCTGTTGCTATCCGAGACCAGCGATGGCACGGTGGCAACAATCAAGAAGGCCAATCGCCTCCTGCATCAAGCTCAACTGAGGCATGAGCATTCTATGAAGATCCACGCCTTCCCGAAGAATCAGGACCTCGCCCTCTACGCCTGGGTGGACGCCGCCAGCCAGAACCGCACCAAGGGCGGCAGCACGCAGGGAATATTTGTGGGAATGGCACCCATAAGTATGGCCCAGGGCGAAGTGACCGAGGTGTCTCCAATGAGTTGGCAGTCCAGCAAGATTGACAGAGCATGCCGCTCCCCAGGCGCCGCGGAAGTACAAGCCGCGACAAATGGAGACGATACCCTGTTCTATGCCAGGTACCAATGGTCAGAGATGCTGTACGGCGAGGTCAATGTTCGTGACCCTGAGGAAACCGTGAAGAAGACTCCGGGCTACCTGATCACGGACTCCCGCAACGTGTACGACAAACTCATCACAGAGGTGCTTGTGATTAAAGGCGCGGAGAAGAGAGCAAACATCGAGTTGCTCAGCGTGAAAGATTCGCAAATGACTACAAACTTGGAGATTCGGTGGGTGCACTCGGAAGCGCAGCTAGCTAATGGGCTAACGAAAGCTGGCACCTCTCGGGAGTTCGAGCTGTACTACAAGATGAGAGGTCGATGGAGAATCATGGAGGATCCCTCTATGATGTCGGCCCGACGCAGGAAACAGCTTGGGCTACTGCCCTTACAGAAGGAAACTGAAAACAATGTAAATGTTTCTGAGGACTCTGATGTAGTCTAGAAGGGGGCTGGGCGCCATGCAAGTGCTTGCATAAGCTAAGCACTTGTGCTGCAGGACTCAATATGCGTCTCGCAGCTGTGTGACCGTTCAGGAGATTACTTAGAGGACCGTGCCCGGGGATTTCGCTGCCTAGCCGTGAAAAGTGGGACACGTCTGCCGAGTGGTTCCAGAAGGTTGACTTTGACTTGAGCAAGCAAGGCCACTATCCAAGCTACCCGCGTGCAAACCCTAAACCCTAAACCCTAAACCCTAAACCCTAAACCGTCCGTTACCCCTTGGAGGGAAAGAAAGGTCCCATGTAAGCGCCAGGTCCGGGCTTTAGGTCATCGGGCTTGATTGTGTACTTTCAAAGGCTCAAACCCTAAACCCTAAACCCTAAACCCTAAACCCTAAACCCTAAACCCTAAACCCTAAACCCTAAACCCTAAACCCTAAGGCTCCAATGTACCTATACAGTAGAATGTGTAGGATTTCAATCTTCGGACTCCTTATCATCATTTGGGAAAGTATCCTTCATGACAGTCCCTAGGACCCTTTGGGACTTGGGTTGGCGTTTCGGATTCAGCGCCTGTGAAGCCCGGTCCCTAAACCCTAAACCCTAAACCCTAAACCCTAAACTCTAAACCCTAAACCCTCTCTTCTTTGATGCTTTGCGAAGACCTGGCTCGAGGCAGGAGACGGAGCAGAAGTACAGCAACGAAGCTTCGCGGAACTGTGGATAGGGGTTTAGGGTTTAGGGTTCAGGGTTTAGGGTTTAGGGTTTAGGGGCCTTTGAGGCTCCCGTGTTTCGTATGAGGGTTTAGGGTTCAGGGTGCCAGTGTGGTCAAACGTATCTTCGGGTGCGAAGCATGATACAAGTAGGATTCTGTTACGAGGAGGGGCTTTGGAAGACCAAGCACAGACTCCCTAAGCCCTAAACCCCCAAATCGCTGATCCAAGGAGCTGTTCCGGCAGTTTGCGGAAGCTTTCCGAAATCTGCCCCTGGCAACCCTGGTATCTTGAAAGCAGATAATTGGAAGGTTTATTGAAAGGGGCTTATATGGATTCATCTCAGCTAGCTTCGGTTACCACCGTAGGGGAAGCTTACTAGGTACTTCAAGTTTCTATAACAGTTCTGGATTGTTGCCTGTGGGACATTCCAAATTTCCCAGCGCTCCTGCAGGCTAAAGGGATGTTTAGGCTCTAGGTGAAATGCAGACTAAATTAGGGTGTGTGCGCGCTCTCGCATGTGTGTGTGTGTGTGTGCGTGTGCACTCGCTAGCGGTAGCACCTTGCCCCAAGACGTGCACCCTAAACCCTACACCCTAAGCCATACTAAGCCCTACACCCTAAACCCTAAACCCTAAACCCTAAACACTAAACTCTAAACCCCGCCAAACCCTAATACCCTAAGCCCTACACCCTAAACCCTAAACCCTAAACCCTACACCCCCCCTAAACCCTAATACCCTAAGCCCTACACCGTACTGAAAGGATCATGGGACTTAGTAAGTAGGGTTATAACTAAGGTAACTATACTTATAACCCCAATTCAAGGACTTACTTACTAAGTCCCATGATCCTTAAAGTATCGTCCGAGATCAACGACTCCGTTTTCGTGGTCCACGGAGGCTTGAGCTCAAAGGCCCGGGCCCAAGGTGGACTCTTTTGGGTTCAAGGGCGCAGGGTTTAGGGTTTAGGGTTTAGGGTTTAGGGTTTAGGTTTAGGGTTTAGGGTTTAGGGTTTAGGGTTTGGGGTTTAGGGTTTAGGGTTTAGGGTTTTGGGGCCCATTTTACTCTAATCATAATAAGGAGCCGCCACAAATAGCATTGGTTTTAGTTAGGCCCCTACATTAGCAGGGGTTTGTGGTATAATGGGGTATATTATGAGGGTATAATACGGTTCTAGGGTTCTGTAGAAATTTCTACAAAGGTTCTGCAAAGGTTTCGGGGTTGCAGTTGCGTTTTCTAGTGTACCTTAAGAACCCAAAACCACATTCTTGTAGGTTCTTATTATAAACCCCAATATGGGATTTATAGGGACCCTAAACCCTTTCTTCCTATATATATTT